TGTAAGCATGTTTGCATGTCTCTGAAAAGTCATGGGTAAGTGAATGCAAGAACATGTGTATATATTTTTGCCTGTGAGGGTGTGTATCTTTGGATGTATATGTGTATGTGCATCAATAAGATAGGGGTTTTGGGAGAAATGGATGTTTATGAGATGCGTGAAAAAAACTGACTCATAGAAGCTAAGAAACATGATCCCAGAAGCCATTCTCTAACAGGAATTTCCTGTGTTTCAAACTAATAGAATACAAGGGTATATGCTTGGACAGCTGCCTTTCCCTTTCACCTTCTGCCATCTAAGAGAGTGAGGGGTGGCAGAGCAAGGTTGTGTGTATTGGGAGGATGAGTGAATATATGCCTGAAAAAAGACTATGAATGTAAGTCATGCTTGTGCATGGGTGTGTTTGAGTATGTCTGTGATAGGATGTATGATTTGGTGTGAATTTATCACATTGTATGATAAACATCTGTGGATGTATTACTATTATAAAAATGAGTTTATTTGTGGGAAACTCTCAGTTTCTCCTTGATACATGTAAGATAGGATTATGAGAGATACGCTTATTATTGACTTTCTGTTTATGGTGATTGAAAATTTGGCAATGGATATTGGTGATGGTTATATAACCTGATTGACATAATTGATGTCACTAAATTGCACACGTGAAAGATATTGAATTGGAAAATGTTGTGTTATCTATATTTTTACAACAATAAAAAATGAGATATGTTTATGATCCCCTGCCTATCTAACGTGTATATTGATGAGTCTGAGCCAAATCGAAGGCATCTAACAATAACAATGTGTGCAACATATAATGTTGATGAACTTCTGATGAATATATATATATGTGCGTGTGTGTGAAGGGATAGGGGTTACTCATTGTGTATCTAAGTTTGTGGAAAAATTGTATTTGCATACATGTGATTATGTGAGGTGGCAAAAGCTTGGCCATTTAGAGTTTGTGGAGATGTGCCTGTATACGGAAGAACATATATTCATGCACAGGTGGCTTTGTTTCCACATGCCTTTTCATGTGAGCACATGCGTATGTATCAGTACATACTCAGAAGTGCTTATGCCTTAGGGAATGAGTGCTTATATATGTCTGCATCTTTGGGTATGTCTGAGTGTGAATGTACATTTATTTTTTAATGTCTTTTAATTTTACATGCATCTGCTTTGAAAATATTTCTGCGTGTGAATATAAACCCTTTCATTTTTACGAGTGTGTGTGAGCGTGTAGTCGTTTCTGGGTGAACCGACATACTTATCAGCAGGATGAGTATGTGTGTGCATGTATGTGAGTACATGTGCATATATCTGTGTTATGTTTGGCATGCACACTGATTTCCAAATTTGAGTATCCTTTTGCATGTGAATGACTGTAAATGGGAGAGAATACATGCACTTCTTGTATGTCTAGTTAGGTGTGAGTGAGAGGGAGTTCAAAACGCTGTGAAGGGTTGTGCCCATCAAATGTGAGGGTGCCATGTGGTGGCTTTAGATATCCCCAGAAAAGCCTCCCACGCTTTCCTCAACAGGCATAGTCTCATCTAGCAACCATAACCACTACCTGACCTGTTTTTAAGGAGCAGGGATGCTCTGTGAAATGTATGGTCTGCATCAGGAACCTCTATTCTCCTGACTGCAAACCCAGATACTCAGAAGCTCCATCGAGGAGGCACTCAAGACAGAGAAGCAGAGACTCCAAGACTTATATAATAAGAAGGCTGGGACTAGAAATATTATGGGATGAAAGGACTACACTAAAGGGAAAAAAAAACATTTTGGAGAAATTTATGTGAGGTGTGTATGAGGCATAGGTGGGAAACAAGCATAAGTAAGGAATAAGAAAGCTGAAGGGATCAAATCCAGGAGAAAATTTGGAGAAATAGAGTTTTAAAGAAATTGGTGCAAAAGATTTATGAACTACATTTATTTAAGGCTTAATATACACCAGGAACTGGATTCACAAGAATGAATAAAACACAGTACCTTCCCAAGGATGTCATAGTTCATTGAGGAGGAAGGCATAGAAAGAAATATTTACAATTAAGAATTATGGGGACTACATTAGAGCATGTGCTATAGTATTACTGTGTTATTACAATCCATTCCATGGGTATGTTTGGGGAAAGGTGGCTAGCAGGGTTTCAGGGAAGAAAAGAAGCAATTTCTGAGTTGGAACTTGGTGATATATATGATTCAGAAAAGGATAGAAAAGGAAAAGGAAACCCCATTTATAAAATGTGTTTTTAAAAAAGTATGAAAATCTAAGGCATATCTGAGGAAGCACAGTAGTTCTGGAAGGATAAAATGAACAGGTAGAAATAGAATAGAAATGGGCTAAGCAGTAGAGATTGTCTAGAGCCAGATAGTAGCCCAGGGTGATCTTTATTTTAAAGCAGTGGGAAAGTCAGTTAAAGTGTTTTAAGCAAAGATGCCACAGCTGCATTATCAGATTGCAAATTAGAAATAATGCTGTGAGGAGATCTATCTGGAGGAAAGGTTTGAAGGCAGATGAATTGGCAGCAGGAAAATCAATTGCAATAATGCAAATGAGGATCTCGGCAAAGGCCGTGGCATTGTTGATGAGTAAAGAATTGGATACAAGAGAAAATTTTGAGACAAGATGATGAAGCTTACTAAATAATTGATAGTACTCCTTTGATACATGAATGTTGTTGCTGTTCTTAGCTGCTGCCAAGTAGGCCACTGACTCAGGGAGACCCTACACACAATGGGACAGTACTATAGTGATCCACAGGGTTTTCATTGGCTGATTTTCAAAAGAAGATTGCCAGGCCTTTCTCCCTACTTTGTCTTAATCTGGAAGCTCCGCTGAAAACTGTTCAGCATCACAGCAACACACAAGCCTCCACTGACAGATAGGTAATAGATGGGTAATTGAACCCAGGTCTCCTACATAGAAGGGAAAATTCTACCCCTGAACTACCCTTGCTCTTCTCTGAACACTAAAGGAGCCTAACTTTATGTCTCTGCTTCATGCTTTCCTTTGGTGTCCGTGAAAATCCTAACTTTGGGAAGAGGACCTCAGTGTCCTTGGCACTGCAGCTGTGGCTCTCTCAGCCTTGGCAGAAGAGGCCAGATTTGAGCATTTTACAAGGAGGCATGTTCTAGGGCAAATCAAGACCCCTAGATGGGTGCACTAAGAGGCTGAGCAGGATATTTGGCTGACTTCTGAAAGTTGTGGGGGATGCTGCATGACTGGAGTGAGGGTATGATTCCTGAAAGGCAATTTGCAGCCTGGGTTGCAAAGGCATCTAGTGACCCAGGCTGATATCCTCTGGGCAATTGGTAGATTTTTCAGAGTGCTGAAATGCCAGAAATGAATTATCAGTTTCTATTTATTCCTCTTTGAATGCCTTCTGTTGGATTTATTAAGCTCTATGTTTAGTTTGGAAGTTACTAAATTTTATTTTTAAAATTTATCTTTCTATTTGAGCCCATGTATATACACATTTAGAATTTTCTAATAAATGTTTAGAGTTAATGTGCAACTATATCCATCCCTTGAAGATATAAAGAGCCTAGCATGTTTTTATTTCACTTTTTCTCCCGCCCCCAATACTCATATTAATTTTGTCTAGAATTAAAGTTCCAACTTCTTTAGACATTTGATTGGGGAAGGAAGGTACAACTATAAGCCTTTTATTCTGTAATATTGATTAGTGGTAATGCTACCATCTTACTTAAAAGATCAAGTTATGTTTTGTTATTGTTCTTAATTTCTCCACCAGGGTCTCCTAACTAAAGAAGTTTAAGGAGGTTTTAAGATAAATCTGTTAAGATTTCTTTTGGATTATTTTAATGTAGGGTGCATGGGACACCTGGAAACTTCCAGGTTGAGGTGAATATAGAATGTCTGTAGGATATACCTGAGATTCATTAGTTTATAGAGTTTAATTGAAATCATAGTATTAGATAAAACCACTGAGGGAAAAGAAGAGGGCTAAATAAACATCCCTGAAAAATACCAGTGCACGAATTGTATGGGACACAGCAAGGTGAGCTAAGGAGGAAGATTCTGATAAATAGAATTAAAAAGAAAGGAGAAAAGGGATTAATAGCAGCTGAAGCTCATTGAGAAATCAATCAAGCTTAGGAAAAATGAGTGCCACTTTGATTTAGCAATAAAGGGGTAGTTGATGACTTTAATGAGAGTAGTTAAAAAAACCAGACCAAACAAGTTTCCATCGAGTCTACTCGACTCTTGGTGACCCCATGCGTGTCAAAGTAGAACTGTCATCCATAGGGTTTCCAATAGCTGATTTTTCGGAAGTAGATTTCCAGGACTTCCGTCTAAGGCACCTCTGGGTGGACACAAACCTCTAACCTTATGGTTAGCAGCCAAGTGTGTTAACCGTTTGCATCACCTAAGGACTTCCATGAGAGCAATTAAAGGATATCAGAGTGTGAATGTGTTACGGCAGCACAGAAATCAGATTGCCTGGGATGAGGAGAAGATACAGTGGATATAGGAGTAGAGACCTTCTCCTCAGATGTTTGCCTTTAAGAAAGGAAGCTAAGTTAGAAAAAAGCTACAGGGAGAGGCAGAGTCAAAGGTAAATGGATAAACAATTTAGAGAGAGAAAGAGAGCTTTGAAGGCAGCCATAGAAATGTCCCAAAGTAAGGTATAAGTAGAAGGAGCCCTGGTGGTGTAGTGATTAAGTGTTTGGCTGCTAACCTAAAGGTTGGCTGTTCAAACCCACCAGCTGCAACATAGGAGAAATATGTGGCATCCTGCTTCTGTGAGATTACTGCCTTGAAAACCCTACTGGGCAGTTCTACTCTGTCCTGTAGGGTTGTTATGAGTCAGAATCTGCTCAACAGCGATGAGTTTGTTTGGTTTTTTTTTGGAAGGGATAGGTATAGCATAGACTACTAGAGTGTATGTGTGTGTGTGAAGGAAATGTGTGTGTGTGTTTGTGTGTGGGGTGGGGACAAGAGAAGACAGGAGGTTTCAGAAAATACCATGCAAATGTGTAGTAAAATTAAATTAATCTTTCTAATCAGTTTTCAGGTTCCTGAGTTCCAAGCTGGATCCTCAACTATGTCAGCATTATCCACCCAGACAGCCTCCAATGGCAGCACTTCAATGGCCCCCACCTTCCTGCTGGTGAGCATGCCAGGTCTGTCAGTTGTACCTTCCTGGTGGACAATCCCCCTCATTATTCTCTACCTTCTCTCTGCCCTGGGCAATGGTACCATCCTCTGGATCATTGCCATGGAACCCACCCTGCATTGCCCAATGTACTTCTTTCTCTTCTTGCTCAGTGTGTCTGATGTTGGCTTGGCCATAGCCCTGATGCCCACCCTGCTGGGCCTCGCCCTTGCTAACGTTTAGGTGGTTTCCGCCTCAGCATGCCTCTTTCAGATGTTCTTTGTCCACGTCTTTTCTGTCATGAAGTCCTCTGTCTTGCTCACGATGGCCTTAGATTGAGCATTGGCCATCTGCCGTCCTCTCCACTCTCCTGCACTCCTCGCCAATGGTTTCTTCAGCAAGATTGGCCTGGCCATTGCTTTCCGATGCCTGGGTCTCCATCTGCCCTTGCCATTCCTCCTGGCCCACATGCCCTACTGCCGCCCACAGGTCCTAACCCATTCTTACTGCTTACACCCAGATGTGACCCGACTGGCCTGCCCAGGAGCTTGGGGTGCAGTCTACAGTCTCTTTGTGGTCCTGTCAGCCATGGGATTAGATCCTTTGCTTATTTTCCTCTCCTATGGCATAATTGGTAAAGTGTTGCAAGGTTTGGGATCCAATGAGGAGCGCTGGAAGGCTGGTCAAACCTGTGCTGCCCACCTCTCTGCTGTGCTCCTCTTCTACGTGCCCATGATCCTTCTGGCACTCATTGACCATCTTAGGTTGCCAATACCTCAGCCTGCCCATACTCTTCTCTCCTATGTCCGCTTCCTACTTCCTCCATTATTAAACCCTATTCTCTATAGTGTCAAGATGAAGGAGATTAGAGAGAGAATACTTAAGAGGTTGCAGCCCATGATGGTGCGTTGTGCTCAGTAAGGAAGATGTCCTGCCACGTTTGGTGGCTCAAAACTATGAGTATGCATGAAATAGTCTCTCAGGCATGCATAAGTGCATATACAGGGATATATCTGCCTGCCCCTAAAAGTGTGCATGTGTGTATTGATGAATGTTTACAAGCCTGAAAGAATGGAAGTGGTCCACCCACTGTTACACTATATGTGAATGGCATAGAAAGGACCAGAGTCTAGGTTTGTCACAACCATCCAAGTGTGTGGCTACTGTGGTTTTCCTGTTATTGTTAATTTCCCCACCTCATCTATACTGCCTGATAACTGAATAAGCTGAAATACTTAAGTGACAACACAGCAAAGGAAAGAGAAGACAGAAATATTCTGCTCACCTAGATGGGAGATCATCCACTAGTGTTGTACTCTCATAGGAAGTAGGGATTCTGGCTTGCCCTTAGGGATTGAATAAATGAAGAGGACGCAAGTAACTCTGATCAGGCTGGGGCAAGGAATAGGGAAAGAAATTTTTTTTTCTATCTTTTATTTAGTTTTTAAAATGTTAGTATAATTTTTGAATATATAAAGGCACATTTATTTTTAAGTTTTCAAATAATTCTAAAATAATATAATAAAATCATCTTAAATTATATCATCAATTATAACCACCATTATCGTTTTATAGGTAACAAAACATTTGCTATGTATAATTCAATGACATTAATTATAGTCATCATGCCACCATTACCTTTTTAGTGAAAACTAGTAAATGTGAAGGTTTACATAAAGGGAATCATGTATGTGGTAGATGAAATTATTGGTTTCAGTTCTTTACTTCCTAGTATTATACACCCACACCCACATCATGGGAGTTACAGTGGGCAGAATGTACTTATCCTCCCTTTGACTTTGAGCTTGGACACATGACTTGCTCTGGTTAATAGGGTATTAGTGGATGTGACAAGAGCAGAATTTTCATTGTGATTTTGCAGTGGTGTTTGACTTCTTGTGTTGTAAGTGATTCCCGATGTAGGTGCTGCTCCTTCAGTCTGGTCCCCAGAATGAGACATATGGTACAGACCATTTGCCCAGCCTGCAGCCTATTGTCAACCCTAAATGACTAAAGACCTAAAGTAGAGCCACCGGCCAAGGCAGCTTAGATCAAGAGGACCTCTATCAACCTCATGCCTGGTGACCATGACAATAAACGCTGTTGTTATAAACAACTGAGACTCTGTGGTTGGTATTATCAAAAGTGGACTAATGCAGCATGTTTATTGTTTTATTCTATAAACATTATTAATTTCCTGATATATTTTTCTGGATGTTCATATAATTATTGATACACATATGAGGAGCTTACTTTGTTTGTAGCACAAAATTAAATATTATACATGCCTTTCTCCATCTTGTTTTTCTTTTGGTAGATATCCCTCCAAGTCAACAAGTATAGCATTGAAATGCTTGCATCATATTCCATGGTATGGATGGATTGCAACTTATTCAGCTGTTTCCTATTAATGAGTATTTGAGTTGTCTTCAGTTTGTCACTCCCAACAATGCTGTAACAAACATCATTACACAGGATCTTTTGAGATCCCATTACCTCATTTTAAAAAAATGAATCTGCAATTTGGGACTTGTTGAAATTACCTTTGCACGGACCTTTGTAAGTCAGAGGCTGATACTGCACTAAAAACAGTACTCCTGGCTGCCTCTGTGTATTTACTACTCCACTGAGTGCGGAGAGCAGGAAACTCTCACCTTCACAGCAGGGCCTCAGCTGCTGTCTCCTGGTTCTCTCTGTCTCCTGCCTACCGGCCACACCCACACCAATCCTGTCAAAACTTCTAGGTGTCTAGTGCTGCTGTTGTCATGACAGGCCAGCAGGGGACAATCTTCTCTCTCTCTGCAGATTTACTCTATCCCCCTCAACTTAATCGATATATTTGGGAAATCACAGTCTTTCTCCTCTAACCTGTGGAGATGAAAGTATTAGCAAAAATATTTACAATTGTAAACAAAATGTAACGGTAATACAGGAAGTTGGATGGAACATAAGACTAAGAATAGCTTTGCAGAACCCAATCCTCTAGGTTGGTCCCATTGCTGAGCAAAGTGTGTGTGTGTGTGTACGTGTGTGCATGTGTTAGAGAGAGAGAGAGAGAGAGAGATTGAGGGTTTGAGAACTTAGTATAGGGATCATAAATTCAAATGCCTGGAGGAGCTAGGGTGATAACATAAGTAAGTGGAGCAGGTACAGACTCATAGATTGTGTGTGTGAGTGGTAGGGACTGTGTAAACTAAGGGGCCAGCCACTTCTTAGTGGGCTCCTATTGAGTGTTTCCGTGTGGAATATAGGCCCAGTGTTGCCACATCTTTTCATTTTTTAGAGCAATTTTAAATCTATATTTTTATTTGAAGTAATCTAGATACTATCTTGTCCAAACAAAACTGTCCGAAGACCACACTGGGATCATGTAGCTTCTAAACACATTAACTTCTTTAATCCATACAGTTCAGGGAGAAGAAATTATTTATTAATTTCAAAAGTTTAAGTAGTTTTCTCCAGACCACACAGCCAGGAAATGGTGGGAATGAGACTAGAGGACACTCTTCCTGGCTCTCAGTCCTGAGCTTTTCCACTCATCGCTGTCAGACCTCAGCTACCGCAGAAGAAAATTAAAAGGACATGCAATCCCTCACAGGCCTATTTACTCTTTCTTCTGTGGGTTGGCTTCCAAATCCTCAGTCTGGAATTACAGTATATCTTACCATTTAGAGAAATCCTGGGTTCTGGTCCCCTAAATAAGGATGACATAACCCTAGTGGCTCCTAAAGCTTCATGCCAAGGCTGACCTTTTTTCATTAGGATATCCATGCAGCTCTTTGGCCTGACTCCATTTACAATACCAGGAAGTGACAGATGAGTCCAGGGAGACTTAGATATTAAAAGTTGCTTGGGTGTGCTTTTGGCCATAAAGGGGTAAATCTTGCGTTGTAGCTTGACGGTCATTATTGGCAAAAGATACTCTAAAACCAGTTTCCATTGAGCCAATTCTGCCTCATGGCTATCCTACGTGTGGCAGAGTAGAACTGTGCTCCATAGGGTTTTCAAATGGCTGGTTTTTAAAAAGTAGATCACCAGGTCTTTCTTCTAAGGTGCCTCTGGGTGGGTTTGAACCTCCAACCTTTCAGTTAGCACTAACACATGGACTCCAAAGGCATTCTAGGCTTTCCTAAATTCACATGGTAGCATGAAAGGGATGAATCTCTGTCTCTCACAAAGACCCCTTAAGTGCCAGCTTCTTGGTAAGAAGTGTGGAGGGGGAGAGTGCTGAGGTAAGTCTGGATGATTACTGCCCTGATTAACCCTTGAATTCCCCCAGCAAAACCTGTGGACTGTTGCCTGTGCTCTTCATTACATATTGAATGACCTTTGATACTTTAACACAAGTTTTCCCCTTTCACAGAAACTTCGGAAATTATCATTTGTTTTCTAATATTTATTAGATTCCGTTTTACCAGGGACTACCCCTTTATCCTTAAACTTTTTTTTTTTTTTTTAGTTCAAATTGATATAATCTACCAAGTATGTATTATGGACAAGGCACTTTATTAGTGGAGACTTAAAGTTTACTAAGACACAGCTCTTGCCCTCTGGAAGCTTGCAATATAGTTGGTGAGAGAGACATATGCACAATGTTAGAGATGTATATCAGTCTCCATCCACTGAGCCCCGGGGACTCAGCCCCTTGTCTTTTCTATAAACGCTGCCAAACGCCAATGACTTCCTATAATCTACCCCTAAACTGGATTGCCCCAAAACTGGCTTCAGCAAAGACAGTCTCTCTAGAATCCGCTTTTCATATTGCTCCAGAAAAGTACTTCTTGAACAGTAATCTACATACCAGTCACCTGGGAATCTTGTTAAAATTCAGATTCTGAAAAAATAGGCTTGCAGCAGGATATGAGATTCTACAATTCTAACTACTTTCTATGTGATGCTGATGTTGCAGGACAGTGTACTATATACTATGCTGGACAGTGTATTATATAGTATACTATATACTATATACTATGTACTATATACTAAGATAGAGAACATACTTAGACAAACTCTGACATGCTGTAAATGGTTTAATGTAAATCACAAAGTGGAATCAGATGAGGGTATGCAAATTTTAAAAAGTTAAATGGCTCCAGAATCTTGCACAGGACTGCATTTCCTAGCTTATCCTCAGAAGTCTGTCTAGATTATTACTCTTCACTGTTACACCAGAAGATAGATGTCATCAATCCCAGAAACAACAACAAAAAATCCACACATTCTTTATGAACTATAAGCATCTTTTTCCTTAAGAGCAAAAAAGCTATAGTATATTACACACCCCATAAGGGTTAATAGGTTAATTATTTAACTATGTAATGGTAACTTAAAGACTATAAAGTACATAGAATCACTTCCCTCTTCCCAAGGTAAGTTATTACGGAAAATACGAAGCATTCACCTTTTCCCCATGATTTAGACTTCAGACCAAGTTTTTCCAGGACTTTCACTCTAATCTACTGAGTTTTTACACAATATTCAATGGGGTTTATCAAGGGTGGCACCAGCAGGAATGCATCAGCTATCAGAATCATAGCCAAAGGTGACTTACGCTTAGCAAAGCGATGCATGGTAGCCAAGGTGATGATGGGCACATAGAAGATTAGCACAGCACAGATGTGGGACACACAGCTGTTAAGAGCTTTGAGCCGCTCCCCATGTGATGCAATACCCAATACAGTTTTCAGGATGAACACATAGGAAATGGCAATGAACACACTGTCTGACATCATGCAAAGTGCAACAAACAGACCATAGTAAAAGTTGACCCTATTGTCAGAGCAGGCCAGCTTCATGACATCCTGGTGGAGGCAGTAAGAATGCGATAATAAGCTCTTATTACAGTATCTAAGTCTCTTTAAAGTAAAAGGAAGGGGAAGCACTAGGAGAATGCTGTTAATAGCAAACGTCAATCCAATTTGCACAACTCTTGAGCTAGTGAGGATAGAGCTATATCTCAGGGTGTTGCGAATGGCTACAAAGCAATCAAAGGACATGATCAGGAGCACGGAAGACTCCATGTCTGTGAATCCATGGATGAAGAATTCTTGGGCAATGCATGCATCAGCAGAAATCCCCATGGTATTGAACAAGAAGATCCTCAGCATAGTGGGCAGGGAGGAGAAAGACAGGCTCAGGTCAGATAGGGCCAGCATGGAAAGGAAATAATACATGGGCTCATGCAGAGAAGGCTCTGTCCTGATGACAAATAAGATGGTGCAGTTGCCCAGGATGGCCATGAGGTACATGAGGCAGATAGGGATGGAGAGCCAAACGTGTGCATGCTTCAGCCCTGGTATCCCAATCAATAGGAATGTGGAGATTTCAACTTCGGAAATATTGAAAGGAAACATCATAAATAGGTCTCTCTTTTTTCTACTCCTGGGTCTACAGCAACATAAATAATAGACAGAAATTCTCTCTTAGTTGTATTTACTGAAATTTTCTGTTCAGTAGATTAAATATATTTCAAACCTAATACAGCTTGTCCTCAGATGTCAAGAAATAATGTAATATAATTTCAGCTATATTAAAAAATATATGTGTATATATATAGGAAGCCAGCACAACTTGTACAAGGAAAGGTCATGGAAGCTCCATAGACACATCCAAACTCCCTGAAGGACTGACTTGCTGGGCAGAGGGCTGTGGGGACCATGGTCTCAGGGAACATCTAGCTCAACTGGCATAACACAGTTTATAAATACAATGTTTTATATTCTACCTTGGTGAGTAGCATCTGGGGTCGTAAAAGCCTGTGAGCAGCCATCTAAGATACTCCACTGGTCTCACCCCTTCAGGAGCAAGGGAGAATTAGAGAACAGGATGCAAGGAAAAGATCAGTCCAAAGGACTAATGGACTACAACTACCAAGGCCTCCACCAGACTGAGTCCAGTACAGCTAGATGGTGCCCAGCTACCACCACTGACTACTCTGACCGGGATCACAACAGAGGGTTCTGGACAGAGCTGGAGAAGGATGTAGAACAAAATTCTAACTAACAACAAAAAAAAACAGATTTACTTGCCTGACAGAGACTGGAGAAACCCCGAGAGTATGGCCCCCGGACACCCTCCTAGCTCAGCGGTGAAGACATTCCTGAAGTTCACCGTTCAGCCAGAGACTGGACAGCCCCATAAAACAAAACAGGACTAATGAGGCACAGCAGTCCAGGGACAAAGACTAGAAGGCAGGAGGGGACAGGAAAGCTAGGGATAGGGAACCCAAGGTTGAGAAAGGACAGTGTTGACATGTCGTGGGGTTGTTAACCATTGTCGTAGGGCAGTATGTGTACTAACTATTTAATGAGAAACTATTTGTTCTGTAAACCTTCATCCAAAAAACCAGAAAAAAAAGAATTATCTATGTGAGATCAAATTGACAACAGCAACTCAAAAGGATTGATGGGAAACCTAGGGGGCAGTGAGTTGAAGACCATGGTGATAGAATAATTTGGAAAAGGATACTGAGAAGAGCAACACAATTGGAAGAATGTAATCAGTGTCACTGAATTGTACATGTAGAAATTTTTGAAATGGTGTATCTTTGGCTATGTATATTTTCACCAGAAAAAATAAGTCCTGCAAGGTCGAGAAGGGAGAGTATTGACATGTTGTGGTATTGTTGACCAATCCTTGTCATAAAACAATATGTGTACTGACTGTTTAATGAGAAACTATTTGTTCTGTAAACCTGCATCTAAAGTACAATAAAAAAATAAAAAATAATATATACATATATGGAGCAGATTTAAACAGGCTCTTCATATTATTTATTTGAAATGTTCTTTATTCCCTGAAATATTTCTAAATAGCTTTATAGCTTGCAAGTAACAAGGTGTTTTGATACCATCTTTTCAAAACCACTACTTATTGATGTTTATGCATCAAGTGAACTAAGTTGGAATATGTTGAGATCTGGAAGACCTCTAATACCATGGGTGTTGTCAATGCTCATGTACTCACACAACCACAGATGTTATGGTAGCAGGGGTTAAAGAAGTCCTTAATCTCATAGTTTATGAGATATGTGCGTGAAAATATAAAAGTGGACGACAACAGAAGTTGACAAAGTACAACCTGCAGCCAAATGCAGCCCACAGCCTGTTTTTGTATAACCTCTAGGCTAATATTTTTGTTTGTTTTGTCTTGTGTGTTTTTTTTTTTTGTTTGTTTGTTTGTTTGTTTTTGCATTTTTAAGGGTTATATTAAAAGAACCAGAATGAGAAGGAGAAGTCGTAGTGATAAAAATGGTATGTGGCCTAAAAAAAGTCTGAAGTATTTACTTTCTGGTCATTTACAGAAAACTTTAGTTCATCCTTGGACTAGAAAACTGTGCATATGAATACACACACACTCACCCAAAATCATGGCAGTGTGTATAAATATGGATGGTACAGTAGTATGGGTCAAAAAGATCTTCAATTTTAAGATTAACATTTTATTTATTTTATTTTTTAAAAACTGATGAAACAAATATACAAATGTTTAAATATTTCAGTCAGAACTGTGAAAACACAGGTGTTTTCAAAACTCTCCATACTTTATTCTTTTATTTCTCACCCTCTTTGTTCTTTTATGAGGAGTCACTGAGCATTCCTTGCAAGAATAGAGAAAGAGGAGGTTGCATCTAGACGGAAGAAATTAGAGGGTGAAGGGTGGCAGCAGAAAGCAGTGAAGAAGAGGGGAAACAGTTAACTAGCTTTTCTCTCTACTGTCAAATTTTTAATAGACCCTTGCCTTATGTTGGCTCAAGACAGGAGTTGTGAAGGAATGTACGGGCCTGCCATACAGTAAAGAGAGATGATAGCATAAAACGGACAGACATGGATAACACACTCAATGTCCATTTTTTCTCAGCCTTTCAAATGCGGTTGATGTTCCCCTGATATGCACCACATATCATGCCATTTGTAGGTGCTTAAAGCTACTGGCCCTGCTCAGAATAGTAACAGGTCCTGCCCCTCTCTCCCTGTTGTTGGATTCCTTTCCCAGTGTTTTGGCTTCTATGTGTCTGTCCTTAGATTGGTAACCACTTCAGGTTGTTCTCTTTGGTATTTGGACTTGATGCTATTCATACCCCTGGCACCAGCATCACCTTCAACTTTGGGTGACTCTCCTTTTAATATATATGTACCCAAAAAAATCCCCAATAGTGCAGCTGACAGTCTGCCCTTGCCAGCGGAGTGGGATTCAGAAAGAGGGGGAAAAGTGATAATGCACCTATACGTCCTGTTTAGCAAGTGCCATCAAGATGGGTTGTTTGCAAGATTCCATGACTTTTCTTGAAAAGTTTCCAATCCTAACTCAAGTAACTGAAGGAATGAGTTACTATTGACAACGTTGTCAAACTGTTTTATTATTCAAGTGGAAACCTCATGTGTGACAGAGTAGAACTGTACTCCATAGGGGTTTCAGTGACTGATATTTTGGAAGTAGATTGCCAGGCTTTTCTTCTAAGGTGTGTCTGGGTGCAATCAAACCACCAATGTTTTGGTTAGCAAATGAAAGCCTTAACCACTGCACTACCCAGGGACATGGGGTCACCATGAGTTGGAATCGACTCATAGGCAACTGGTTGGTTAGTTAGGTTATAATTTAAATACAAAGAAGAACCTCATCCCACATATGAGCTCTAAACTTTTTAGCCATCCACCCTCCCCCAAATGTAGCTTGACCCCTAAGGTTGGGAAGCCCCTGAAGCATTTTTACCTCCAGCCCTCTGAGAGACATCGGGCTGATCTCTATAAACTACAGAGTCTTTACTGGGAGACATAAACTCATCCTAGGAAAATTCAATTCCAATCTCAAGGGCACCTACCAGAGTCCCGGCTACCTTATCCCAAAGCAAGGATGGGAAGGCCTAGAACTCTGCAGGTTCTTCAGCTTCTCTGCTCCAGCACTCTTTTGGAGATCACTTTCTTATTTAAATCCCTATATTCTCCCCTAGCATAAGCAAATCCTCCTGAGAATTAACAGACACCTGGGAACAATGACTTCATTTGTTTCTTCAGTGTTTTTCACTAAGGGACTCTCGTAAGAAAATTCAGACCCATAGTCATAACTTTAACTCTTGGGACCCTGCTCCCACAATGATTACAGACTTCAGCTCATTTGGGACAGTTTGTCTCACACATTGGTAATGACATACCATATCCAGCTGTGGCTCTGTATAAGATTAAGTGCATATCTTAATAGATCCATCTAAGACTATTAAAGGTCAGAGACTGGCAGACCTTAAAACTGAATCCTCACCACGGATGTGTTCTCTTTGGCCATTGATATATCTAAATGTATTTTTGGTGTAGATGGTTTTAGGTGCATCACTGTTGTTGTATGCTGTGCCGTCCAGTAGACTCTGACTCACGGTGACCCTATATCACAGAGTAGAACTTCCTCATAGGGTTTCCTAGGCTGAAATCTTTGTGAGAGAAGATAGTCAGGTCTTCTTTCTCGAGGAGTGGCTGGTGGGTCCAAATCGCCCATCTTTCGATTAGCAGCTAGCTAAGTGCCTAACCATTGTGCTACCAGGGCTCCTCAGGTGGATAATAAGCTCTAACATTTGCCGTAGGCTCTTCCTTTCTCCATCTTCTTTCACCCAACCCTTCCATATTAGCACCCGAAGACACTTAATCTCACAGAACCTGAAAAAGGAAAGCCCAGGATCACAAGCCAATTTTATCCATCCCACCACACTGAAAATAGGAAATAAATAAAAGTTGTAATTCTGATGGTGTGTTGGAGGGGACATCTGATTTTCAGATAAAGGAAATAGAAAATAAAGTCTAGCAAAGCACCTTTGACCTGTGGCTCTTGAATCTAGTCTCCGGTTGTATGTAAAAACAGTAACTATAAAGACTATGGAGTGCGATAACTTTGTTATCTGCACTGAAGACCTTGAAAAAGAAAACGATGAGATTAGGACCACCAACTGACAATTCAGAGCGAGGTGTGGAAGTCAGAGGGCCTCTACATGAATATTTCCAGCAACCTTTATCTCCTTCAGCCGTAGATTATATGATTCTAAGAATCAGGCTCAGAATTTAACTGAAAGGGTGGCAGATTGCAAGGCAGACTGAAGGTTCAGTTTTTATAGGTTTCTCTGATAAAAGTAGAACACTTTAAAAGACTAGGAATAAAAGAATGGAAAAACGGTGAGCTCTGACTCCTGGGATGTTGATGTTTGAATAAGACTGAGAATCTTGGCAACAGAAGCAGTTTCTCATTTTTCAGAGGAGAGCCATTTCTCCCTGTCTGCAGACCATATAAAAACCAAACCTGAGAATAATGTCTCGCAAAATGGTGCTTTTCCTCTGCAAGATTTGTCCCCATCATTCCTTGTTGCACCCAAGCCAAT